TTATGTGGGACATAACTCTTGCTTATACAAAAAAATAAATGTCCTTTCCTGCACTTACAATGAAAATATTAGAGACTTGATTACCATTTTAGTTGTACTATAGGCTGATAGTGGTTGAAGATCTCAGTTTTGGATTTTAAGATTGATTTTTGTAACTTTTGAATTGTTACCTGATACTGCTGTAATTATGTTGAATAGTATTTTATCCTGTGCTGATTCTGCATTAAGTAATCATTTTATTTCATGTCAGGTTGGAAAAGCGTGGACAGCATACCAAAGTTGGTAGCTGAATACATGTCCAAAAAAATAAAAGTGGATGAATTTGTGACCCATACTCTACCTTTTGAGCAAATTAATGAAGCCTTTGAACTTATGCATGCTGGAAAGAGGTAAATGTTTTGCTGCGTATTAAGTTTATAACACAATTTTATACAGGGCTTTTTAGAAATAAACCCTACTAAAGAATGGGTCTTACTTTTAGTTGGGTAGGCCAAAGATTTACCATTTAGTATTGTAACCTGTACAACTGGCATCCTTTTTCTGTTTTGCTTTGTTGTTTATTGATAGTGGCTTGGCTTTTTATACTTTTTTTTAACCATTTCACGTTGCTTGGATCAACTCCCTTTGAATGGGAAGCGATATCAATATGCCAGTTTGGGTGCCGGGGTATTTTCTAAGGTTTTGAGTAGATCCATTTAAAATTTCTTGTTTTCTTCTGATGTGGGAGCACATCTGCTTCAGCAAGATGTTAAAGGCATCTTTGTCTATAGAAAAGACAGCTTGTGCTATACAGTTTTTCTTCCCCTAAGGCCATAAAACTGTAGCCTGATGCCTCAAGAAAGGAGCAAGTGATCAGAATCTTCATTTTAAATTTAAATGTTCTGCCTTTTCCTTGCAATCTTACTTGGGAAGAGGGTAGAAAGACAGAAACTCAAAAAGATAGAGAGGGGGCAAAGGGTGAATTACAGAAAAAAACACATTAATTCAGCTGTTCAGTTGCACTTGATGGGAAACGCTGAACGCAGGAAGGGCTACAACATACTGTTAGTTATCTGAAAATATGACTAAGTTAAGATGATCTAAAACATATTAATAAAAATGGTACACAAAAATCCATTTGGTGCCGTATCAACCTCTCTCTTCCTTTCCTTTCACTGGAAATGATGAAATAAAAACTAGAAAAGGGATAAAAGAGTAGGAAGGAAAAGGGGGAAAAACTGTTTAAACTGCTGAGATTGATATGCAAATAGATGGCATTGCTGAGCATTCTGGGAAATGTAGTCCTCACATCTGAAAAGTACATAGGCTGGAGAAGCGTGTTAAGAGCGCTTTTGTTTTTACTTTACAAACAAATCTTTAATTTATGTTAGCATGATTTCCCTTTAAGGTATTTTAAGTTTAGAATACAAAATACTTCTCTAGTTACCTCCAGTAATTGAATTTTCTTAAATGTCTTATTTACCAGAAAAAAAAATGTTCTCTGCCTGTAAAAGATTGTCTTCTTGATGACTATAAGCCACGTCTTGCATAATTTAGGGAAAAATCTTTTTACTTCTCTTGTAAATACAATAAGAAATCTTATTTTTATGGTATAGTGTGACTATACAGTTTGAATTTGTTTTTCTTCCCTTTTTACAGCATCCGAACTGTTCTGAAACTTTAAAAGATCTGAAGAAATAATGTTCAAACTTTTCAACACACCTTTGGAATAATTGTAATAATCAAGTCGGAACCTGCCTCTGCAACTAAAAACATTGAAATAGCACACAACAGCTGCTTTTTTAAATACTGTATACAATGTAACTATTTTTCCATCTTAGTGAATTGAAATATCAAAATGTAGATTAAACTGTAGGTTTGCTTAATGTCAGGAACTATTTTTCTTTTGATACTTCCAATAATAATTAGTTTAGGGTATTTCTCCCCTTGAAAAAAGAATCATGATTAAAACTTGACATTACCTTATAAGGGTATGTGTGTGAAGTATTTTTTTTTTTCCCTTTCAGATTTACCCAATAGCATATATCCATTCAGGGATTCTGTTGCAGTTCTGGTTTCTTTCAGTAGAGATAATGGAAGTCAAACAAACAAAAAAAAAAGTCTTAACTTTAACCATGGAATGCATGAATTGGCTATTTGTGGTTTCCAAGAACAGTATTAACCCTTTGAGTAAATAACTCAGCTCCAAGTTAGACCTATTATAGCTTTTATTCAATTGGGGGGGGAGTAACAAGCAAAAAAGTCCCACCAATTGATCTAGATTAGATTCCCCATACTCATGTATTTCACTGATATTTGCTCAGAAATATATGTTCCATTCCAGCCTTCCCAATGGCCAATGTGTGGGACCACAATTCACATAATTTCTAGATCAGTGGTTCTCAACCTTTTTAATGCCGTGACCCCCAACCAGTCGTAAGTCAAGGACTACTCAACCGGTCGTAAGTCGAAGACTACTCAACTGGTGCAGCACCGTTTGCAGAATGGGACTTTTGGCGGGCTCAGCAGGGCAGAGACAGCCTGGACAATTCATATTGGCTTTTGAAAGCCAATAGAATTAGACTCTATTCAAGAGAGTCTATTCTATTGGCTTTCAAAAGCCAATAGAATAAAAGGGAGTAGCACAGCTAAGGAAAAGGGGGAAAAAATGGCGGACTGCGTTGTTTGGCGACCCCTATGAAATGGTTGTTCGACCCCAAATGGGGTCCCGACCCACAGGTTGAGAACCACTGTTCTAAATATACCTATGACATAAAACAGTTCCAGGGGCCTGAGACATCATCAAGATGATTTTAAAAGCTATAATGGAAAAAATGTTTCTCTACAATTACAAAGGAAACTATTTTTGCTGACTAGAACTGGGTTTCACCTTTCTTGTTAAATCTACTGCTCCACAGTAATTTCAAATGTGGAATTTTTTTTTGATATGTAGGGTACAATTCAAAGATTTCCTATTTTTCTGAAATGTTAAACATGTTTGAAGTTTAGAAAATGTCATGGGGGCATTCTCACAAACCAGCTGAGATAATGGTGATTGGTTTTATTGCAAACAATCTTTCTGGTTACCAGAAAGGAAATTTGGTAGGAAAGGGCTAGCTCCATGTCTTCTAAGTAGAAGTTGGAACCTAAGGCTTCTTATGCAGAGAAAAGGTTCATCTCCGTTAGCATAACTAGTAACTGGTAAAGATGGATGTGAATAGAAAAACTACATGTAACAGACTGATGCAGTAAAATTAACCTGCATTTCAACCTTTAGACCAGATGAACTTTCTCAATCTCCTCCATTGTGCAGTGACTAGAAATGTACTTCAGAGCAAGTGCCAACTATTTTAGGTCATTGGAGATAACTGATATACCATAACCAAAATGTCATGGAGAGCCATAGAGTTTATAATACTCTGACCCAGTGAGGCTAATTTTTATATCTGAGGCAGCAAAGTTACAGTCCATGAGCAGCTATCATTTGTTTTCTAAAAATGTCTTGGTATTTAATGTGCTTCAAGTTGCTGGAAAAAAAAATCAGGAATGAAAAGGAACACACTTTGGACTATCATGGGAACCCAGGTTACTTCACGTAGTGCAGTAAATATAGCACTCAATTGGCATACAATACATGGTTCTAATTAGAAGCTCTTTTGGTAAAGGCAACATGGAGTTCAACTATCATATCAAGCCATAATGTAGTTTGGTTTTTTTAGCCTTAAGGGTGTTGTATAAAACCAACCAAAGCTTGTAAATCATGGTTTATACCTTATCCAGCTTATACAATTCAATATATGAATCTAGCCAAAATAAAGCCAAAATCAGAAGTCAGTGTTAAAAGTTCATCTAAAATTTGGTTCTGTAAGCAAAAGTGCAACTGGTACATGATTGATGTCTTTCTTCATCTGGCACAAAATTTTCTCTGCTGCTGCTGTTCCCTATCTGAACTTGGTGGCTTTTCTATTCTACCCATTGGTCAAAGACATTATTTGACTTCCTTGGCCTAGTCCAGTGATGGCGAACCTTTTAGAGACCAAGTGCCCAAAAACTGGCCCCGCCCCTGCTCCACCTCCCTGCTCCACCCCCGCTCTGCCTCCCCATCCTCCACCCCGCCTGCCCACAGGACCACTCACCGCCTCCAGGGCCTGCTACAGGTCGCTCAGGTAGCCCAGAAGCACTATGGCGGCCACACCCTCTGCCCACGTCCTGCAGCTTCAACTGCATGATGGGGTGTGAGGGCAAAGTCTTGTCTACGCTGCCTGGCTGCCATGTCCTTGGCTATGCTGCTCCATGTGGGCCACGCTCAAGGGCAACTCTCCTTCAGGGAGGCTGTTGGAGAGGAGGGGGTCACGGGGGGAGGCAAGGCTGAGGCAACAGCACATATGCCCACAGAGAGGGCTCTGAGTGCCGCCTCTGACACCCGTGCCATAGGTTCGCCACCACTAGCCTAGTCCCTTGATTGCTGGTTTCCTTCCTCTGATGCAGGAACCTCAATGTTCTGCCATCATTCAGGTCCATTTTCTGGAGATTTTCTCCTGTTGGTTCTTTCCGATGCTCAACTTAGGTACACTGATCTTCAGCTTTCTTTTAAAAACCATGAAATTCCAGGAGTCCGGACATGTCAGCAGTCTTCTGTCTGACAAATATTTTTGTCAAATGTTTATTAACCAATGTTACATTTCTATCTATGCGCCCTTTGCTATGTTAACTTCCAGAGTCAGCCTTTTTAAAGATTTCTATCCCCCACAAATGTCTTTTCCTAAAGAATAAGCAAAGCATGATTCTCAGAGCAACAATAGCACTTTCATTTAGCTGCCCTGTCACAACTGCACTTCTTTCACTCCCACAAAAAAGATCGAATGTTTTCTTATCTCCTTTCAATAAATAAGTTACCTTTTTTTGCCACACCTGTCCTCAACTTCCAAGAACAATAAAGTCAGATACTGCTGATGGAAGCCGGGATCATTTTAAACAGCTTACAATGATTTTACAACTAACACAGAGCAGAAATGAGTATATTATGCCCATGATTTTATGACTTTTATTTGTCTTCATTTCCATTGCTATACTTCAACACTATGGATGAAGTAGGCACCAGAATAAAAAATGTAGTTGAAAAATCATTCTCATTACAGAACACAAAGTTAGATGGAAACAGCCACTGGCCAACAAAATTAAGCCTCCCTGACACGGTAAATCTGTATAACCAACTCATTACCACACCGTCACCTTGGTTGTTGGTCTAAGAACTTTTGAGGAAAGATTAATGATTTCCAGGGCTGCCCAAATCTTGCACATTTCAAGGGCATTATCTTTACTACAATAGCTTCCTTTACATTGGCCAGTTGTAACAGCACCTGCTCTGTCAAATGCCTAAGTACAATTCAGAAAAATAATTATGTGATAAAATGTGCCGTGGGAAACATGCAGCATTATATCTTACTTTCCTGTCTGTGGCTGAGTTCTCATTACACTGGCAAAAATTTTCCTCTTTAATCTGCAGTGAATCTGATTTCAGTTGTTATGGACTAAAAAGTAACCACTTCTGATCCAGTTCCTGACAGCTGCACGTCACAATCCCAAAGTATCATTTACTGTGATGAAATCTTATCAATCCCAAGTGAGCCCTACAGTGGACAAACATTTGATATGGCAATGAAGTCATAGAAAGTCACAAATGTAATATACATGGTGGACAGGAATTCTTTGTATTTTTTTTCTATTTCAATTGGAATAACAGCTTTGTACTAGTGAAATTTTAGACCCTTATTGGCTATCAAGTGCTACCCATCTTAAAGCTGTAATTTGGTAAAAGCTCAAACCAGGCAGGATCTCAGTAATTTTGGCCTCCCTGCCTCACTTTACGGCTTTTTACAGAGAACCGCTGGGCAAAGGCAAACTCTCTTCACTTAACTAGCAGTTATTGTACTTCTATATACAATTACAACAGAGGCAACCAAAATGGTAGAAGGAAAGGCAGACAAGGTTCTAGAGGGACTAGTACACAGTACTAGTTTCATTTTTGTAGTATATAATGCCACCTCTGAGTTGTAAACAGATGAAAGCCTAGCCTGTTTAAAACTGCCTTTGCAGCACAAGCTAAGCAGGGATTGCCTTTGGAACAAGAAAAGTTCAAAACCTAAGGTAGGCTCTCACATTCACCATGAAAATGTTGTCTTAGGTACACCAGCTGACAACTGTAGCAGTGACAAAATCATCTGAATCCCAGCTTTTTTTTTTTTTTTTTGCTGTGGTTTTCTTTTGGTGGATGGAAAGGAAAACAAAGGGGTGCTACTTGGAAATTCTTTTTAAAAGTTCAAACAGTGTTGGGGTCCTCTGCATCAGATTCTTCCAAGTTGTACGATGCAGATTTGCATTTCTCTTACCTATAGGCAATGACAAGAAAACAAGTGATAAAATCCCCCTTTCATCCTGTACATTAATAAAATGCATAGTACAAATGCTCATTTCAAGCTCTTCAGGTGGCTTTTACTAGCACTGGGTCATGAAGTGAGGACGAATGCTATCCAGCCGCCGGGTTAAGATGTCACACCCAGTATCTGTGACTAGGAGTGTGTGCTCAAACTGAGCAGACCGCTTGCCATCTCGGGTAACTGCTGTCCAACCATCGGGCCAGGTTTCGTCTTGCCAGCCACCTAAGGACGACAACATAAACAGATTCAGCACAGAGAAAGAACATAATACAACAGATGCAGCTTCTTCAATTGTCTAAGGGGATTCTCAAACATCCAGTCGTGGTTGTCCAAAAAGGTGCTTTCTCCACAAGGTTTTTGCTTTGAAAACATTTCACTTTACATCCAAGAAGCTTCTTCAGTTGAAGAACAAGCTTCTTGGATGAGAAGCGAAATGTTTTCAAAGAAAAAAAAACATGTCCAGATGTCTTTTGGAAAAGCACCTTTGGGATAGCTTCATCAATTGTTCATTTTTTTTTTTTAAAGAAAAACTTCAGCTTTTTATTTAGGCATACTGTATAGCTTATACATAGAAACATTTTGGCCTGCTTTTCATTAAACAAGATCTCTGGAAGAAGTATATTAAAGTCGATAATCCTGCTATATTCTCCCCTACAATCATGTTGGATAAAAGCAAATACATGCCCCCCCTCCTCCTCTATTTGGGGAGGCAATTGTTCCCCACCCTCTAAGAATGGTCTCAACATAAGAAAATTTATTGGTGCTGTTCAGAAGCGACTTTTCAATCAATTCCCCAGAGAAGATAACCTTTTAGACAGGTTGATCTTTTAGCTAATGCTCATGCTTTTCAGCCCCAAGGTTTATTTTAATAAGCACAAGGAAGAACTCATTTCCCAGTTCACTGATCATTAGAATAGTTTTGCTATATTTACATATTCTACTCTGGGTATTATCCTGATAATATACACCATTTACAGGCTCCATATCCTTACTATCTCTGCTTCATTGCATTCTTATTACTCAGTTTTTATATATTTTAACAAATATCTCTATGAAAAAATATCCAAAAGGATCCAATATATGCCAGTTTGTGCAAGATATTTTTTTTAAAAAAAAGGAAGGGAGGTCCCCTTAACTCTTTTAAATGATGACCTCTTATAATTTTATTTACATACATGAAACTCAAAAGTATATTTAATAATTCAATTATGCAGATTTTTAAAAAGCAAATTGCTAATGTGGATTTCTTAGAAATTAGTATGAACTGACTAGGGAAACTGTAAGATAGTTTAAGCATAACATAAAAACAATCCTGAATACAATCTTTTGTACCTTCAAGAAAAGATATAACTATGCAAAAATATGCAGCAAGATTTCTGCTCAACAGTTGGAATCCACTTTGCTTACAAGATAGCAGCTCACCAGTGACTAGGAAATGTTCATGCATTTAGCTCCCAAATTAATTTCAAGAAATTTCTAGTTAGAAACAGAATTCCTTAGCTTCATAACAACATATTACCTTCACAGATCATTGGTTCTATCGTAAATGCATGGCCAGGCTTCATTACTCCAACAGCCTTATTTTCTGGGAGGCACAATAAAATGTTATCAGGAAATGATTAATTCTCAGAGACAAGACAGGAATAAAATACAAAACAATGCTAAAGTACATCAGTGATACAGTACTTGTACACAGTTATTTACTATACATGAATGGAGGTATTGAAAGCTGGATCCAGTATAAAATAATTCACCCAAAAGAAAAAGTAGATAAAAAAAAATGACAAAAATCCTTTGCAATTCCCATTTTCCTACCTGCAGCTGCCAATCCTAACTTAAATCAATTCTAGTGATTTCCTTTCCACCTAAATAAATGTACCAGTATACATGCTATCGTTAATGTGCTCATTTCTTTGGTAAGTGGGATTATTATGTCAAGGGTTTTTCTGTTTTTTAATTCTTCTTGTAAGATGCACAGAGTCCCTTGTATGAGATAAGTGACTACATAAATCATATAACTCATTAAATAAAATACCTAGAATACACATGTAAGTGAATGCATATACTTGCTAAAATATATGTATTTGAAAAGAGTAGGGACGAGATAAATAACCCCACAATTTAATAATTAGCATTTAAAACATTCTATAAAAGCTATTCCGCTTATAAAATTAGGAGATTTCCATCTGCATGGAACAATTCCATGCAGAATTGACAGAGCTGACAGAGGAAAGACTTGCTTGATGTTACAAAAGCTACCTTCTTTGTGCAGGTGAGGAAATGAACAAGAATCTACTCAGACCAAGGCAAATATTTAGCAGGTTCCAAAAATGTCAAGATATAGCATTAGCCTGGGCCTTTTTAAAGCAATTAACCATTGTTTCATGAATTGTCCCCCTACTTTAAGGAAAGAACATAGATAAGGTATGAGATATATCCACATCTCACTCTGGACTATATTAACAATCTTACCACTAACTATGGTAAGCTATGATTTTATCTGTAGCAAATGTGGGGAAATTTCATTTCATTTTCAATAAAATCAATATAACTTCATAATGTATTTACAGTTGCCACAAAGATAGTGACGTTCGCTTATGTGTATGCTAGGTATTTTATTTAATTAGTTATATGATTTATGTAGTTACTCATCTCATACAAATGATATAGTAACAGCACTTACCAAAGAAATGAGTATAAAATCCTTCACCGGCACCTGACATCGTATCTTGTGGTAAGATTTACCACAGGACAGCCATGCAATCTCATTTTACTATCCATCGCTCTCCACCTCTACTGAGAAACATGTCCATCAATCAATCTGAATGATTAACTAGAGGATGTGAGAAAGGAAGCAGGCAGACAGGCTGACTAGGAAAGAATGGGATAGCAGGATGATTTGTTCAGATTGCTAAAATATACTGTTTGTGGAGCCGCCCTTAAAGAATATATCCACAATAATACTAACTGCTTTGGCCAATTAAGTTGCTGACCACAGTATTCTGATTACATAGGAAGCCTGTCTGCTTCCCAATCCATTTTAAGATGCTCCTAAAGACTGAGATGCAGATATGTGAATGTCTTTTCCAAGACCAGCTTCACTGTCTTTTAAGGTCAGCAGCTATAGAAACATAGGATATGATAAGGTTTACTGATTGCTAGCAGCACAGCTAGCAACAGCAGGTCTTGCTTATACTTACTGGCATAATGTGGCACATTGGGAGCAGTGTGGAAAAGCTTATGAATCCCATGCCCACAGTAGCTCCGAACTACTGAAAATCCATTGGCTTGAGCGTGTTTCTGTATAATATTTCCCAATTCTCGATACCGTACACCAGGCTTTACTGCAAAGCAATGCATAGACATCGCAATGAAAATAAAGGTCAGTATTCATACACATATTCTCTTCTTTCATACATGTGCACGTTCTCCCTCAAAGAATTACACAAGAGCTCAGAATTTATGACAAGAAAAAAATAAAGAAAAGGAAGTAAGTCTCTGATCAAGTACTTTCAAATGTAAATGTTTAAAATTTGGACACACAGAACATTTGAACAGAATACTCTAGGGCAGGGCTTTTTAACTGATGGTACGCGTACCACTTGTGATACTTTGCCACATGGCAGGTGGTACGCGATTGCTAGCCAAGTGTAGCAGGGGAGGGGAATGAGCCGAAGTGAGCCAAGCCTGAGGGAAAGGCAGCTGCAGGACTTTGTGTTTCTTTATTTTCTTGCTCTGCACTTGATTCCTCTGTCTTTAAGGGTACAGGGAAGGGATTGGGAGTGTGTGCATTCTTACTACACTATGGAAGAGCTCAGAAGGGCTGACCAGCTAGCTCAGGAGTCTACAAACTTAGCAAGTTTAAGCCCTGTATGAGGGCTGAGGAATTCTGGGAGTTGAAGTCCACAAGTCTTAAAAGTGCCAAGTTTGAAGACCCCTGAGCTAGCTGGTAGTGGTACATATTAATAAACATGGATAAATTCATCATACATTTGTCAGTGCAAAGGGAAAGTGATTCAGCAAAGGAACAGCCACTGAAGAAATTAAAACTGGTACTTTTTTCTTTTTTTCTACAGTTTGTAATATTTTATTAGATTATAGAATAAAATACAAAAATACAAAAGCAAATAGTAGGACACAGTGGGGAGGAAAAAGGGGGGAAAGTGAGGGGCAGAAGGTAAAAAGAACATACTTCCTCTGTTGCAGTAGAAGGAAGCATTAACCTCAACTTTTTACTTTTCCATAATATTATAAACTAACCATTTCTATAACAAATGAATCTAATCAGTAAAACCTAAAATCCCCCCCCCTTTTTTTTTAGTCATCAAGTTTTTGACACCTTGCTAAGCACTGGTGGTACTCAAATATTGTCATGTCCTAAAAGTGGTACAATCTGTGAAAAGGTTGAAAAGCCCTGCTCTAGGGGAGAACAAGCTTACTAGCTGCCCAGGCTTCAAAGACAGTATCATTTCTATTTTTTCAGACACTAGTTCCATAGCTACAACTAAGGCATAATGCAGTTTGCATTGCTTGCGGGATGGCTGTATTTAAATAGGGTGGCAGCCACCAGCTTAATTTTAATAAAGGATACATTCATGGAGGATCAGGCTATAAACAACTATTGGACTTGATGGCTGTTATATTACCTCTGAAATCATGAACAGCATCATTTGCCGAATAAGAGGGAGCAACTCCCGAAAAAGGTTATCATTCCTCTTCTATGTTTGTGAGCCTCCTGAAAGCATCTGCTTGGCCCCCAAGTGACAAATGCTGAAAACATGGACCTCTGGCCAGGTTCGGCCTGTGGCTTAAGGTGACAGATGAAGCCAGTTGTTGTTTATAGCTTAGCATGATAGAATCCTATTTTAATATGCATGTTTTAGTGAACAGTGTTTTAACAGTGTCTTGTCTTGTAAACCACTGTGATTCTTATAGGCAAGAAAAGGGAAGAGCTACAAAGTCATAATATTTAGGGAAGGCAAGCCAACATCATGGCAAGTCTACACTCTTTTGTATGCTTCTTAAAAATCTTAATATTTTTAACTCTTTCTCTTTTAATTACCACAAATAATATATTTGTGCTTTAAGAGAAGAAAATTTTCTCGGTGTTTCTCCAGGGTTTAACTGTTGAGAAAAGTGTTATTTGTGTAATAGTTCACTATGGATTTTCAATAAAAACAATCCAACCATTTAACCATTCCTTGGGCAACATAAAAGAAAACCTTTCTATGCTATTTAAGTATGAGTATTAGCTTCCCCTGAAAATGCTAAATCTCCAGGGGAAGAATTTTGATAATCAGTTTAATTTATTTTGTTATGCAAGCTCATTGTCTGGACTTTGGAGAATTTGAACTGCCTCCAGTAAATAACCATTTACAAGTTTAAGATGCTTAGAGAGATGATTAAGTTTCATTATGTTACATTAATTCATTTTCACTATCTGCCTCAAAACACTTTTGTCACCAATATTATGCAAGGACACAATTTTACAAGATAAACTGCAACTGTCCAATATTCAGCAAAGAATTCTAAACTTGACATTCCATTAATGTTTAGCTATTGCTTCTGAAAATGATCAATTTATAAAACTTTAAGGCATTTATTGCACTATTAAAATTAATCATTTTGAATAATCCAGTCATCCCCACCAAATGGAATAAAATTACAGCAATTTGGAACAGTGCAGCATGTTGATTGATACAGACTCCTGAAGGGAGGCAAAACTCAATATAACTGATCTTCTGTCTGAAATGTGTAAAAAGGAAGTAAGTCATGAAAGTCACAGGTTTCAAAAAGCTCTTACCTGCATCAATTGCTTGCATTAGGCATTCATATGTTGTCTGAACTAATCGTTTTGCACCCTCATCAACTTCTCCAATATAAAATGTCTCATTGAGATCCCCATGATAACCATTACGATAAACAGTAATGTCCACTACAAGAAACAACAGGAACACTGCAATTTCCATATTCTGTTTTTGCAGTCATAACAAGATTATAATCAAAAATAAAAACCACATCACAAAATCAGAAAGCATTGTGTGCCTGCCTCAGGACTCAGCTCTTTTTCTCTATTTTATTTAACATCTACATGAAACCACTAAGAAAGATAAACTAATAGTCTGAGGCAAGATATCACCAACATACAGATGACACTCAGCTATATAATGTCTGGTGACTGCTAGGCTCTAGAAAGAGAAACAATATTAAGATTCAGATGAAATCTCAGCAAGACAAAGTGATTGTTTATTCAAAAATAGAATAGAATAGAATAGAATAGAATAGAATAGAATAGAATAGAATAGAATAGAATAGAATAGAATAGAATAGAATAGAATGGAATGGAATGGAATGGAGTGGAGTGGAGTGGAGTGGAGTGGAGTGGAGTGGAGTGGAGTGGAGTGGAGTGGAATAGGAATAGGAACAGAACAGAATAGAATATGGAAGGAGGTCTTCTAGTCCAGCCCCCTGCTCAAGCAGGAGAATCTATATCATTTCAGAGAAGTGACAGTTTAATCTCTTCTTAAAAATATTCTTAAAAATCTAGAGCCAGTATAATTTCATATTTAGTGTCTGATATGGTTATAATGCCTCTGAAATATTTTATCTGAAATCTTGGGTTTCCTGGATTGAAAACTCCTCCTAAAACATCAGATAGAGATTGGACCAAGGCCCAGCTACATCTGAGAATCAAATGCAAACATTTCTGCAAAGGATGGCTTATGTCTGTTATTTCTGTCCTTACCATCTCACAGTTGAGACAAAGTAATGTGTTTTATCTTGGCTGCTTTTCAAGACAAAACAAAAACTAGTCCAAAGCACAACAAGTTGACAGTTGATGCTCACACTTGGTTCAGCAGACTTTCAGAGTGCATGGCATATGAATATTGAAAAATAAGTTGAAAATATAAATGGCTATACCAACAACATGATAATCAAGCCCCCCAATTTCTCTGTTTAGAGTCAAATTGTCAGAAATGAAAAATAAAAAGGTCCTGTTAGTACAGACTGAAAGTTTCTCATGGTGATTACCAAAAGGCATCTGAAGAAATACCCATAACATCAGCATGTAAATATAATTTACAATCTGCTATGGCAATGCAAGAATTGTTTTTCAGACTGATAAACATTCAAGGGTCTCTTATGTATACAACCGTTTGCAAAACTTCCATTCTCAGCACTCCCATTCTTGCTTCTTTGCCAGTTCACAGGAAAAACAAAATGAGACAGTCCCTGTCGTGAACTACACAGAGATAAACTGAATGTAAATTGGAAATAGCTTGTTTGAAATTCCTGTACCTCTCTATTCTTCTCATCTCAATAAATCCTCCTAAGGAGAACACCATCTGAATCATGCTTGAAAACAATAATTTTCAGGCTCCTCTCAAAAAGCTTGACAACCAAAAGAGACAGTTAGTTGGAAGATGCAGAGAAAATTTTTAGAAAGGAGCTGCTATAAGGTATATGGCTTTAATTCTGAACAAATGTAAAAGTTGTAGTAAAGAAACAAAAAGAATTTAATCAGTTGCATCTGTACACAATTAGTCAAGTAGGAGATGAATGCACTATGACCAGTAAGCTTCCCTGTATATGTTTTGGAGTTTGGTAAACAAAACTAATATTTTGGAAGGATATCATTGTGAGATAGATGTTTACATAGATACTCTCTCCAATGGCGATATACTTCCCAAATCCTATTTCCTATGAAAATATTTATTTTACGTTTCTTACCATTAACAATATCACCCTCTTGTAAGCGTCGCCTGTCTGGAATGCCATGGCAGATTACTTCGTTTACTGATGTACAGCAAGACTTAGGAAAATTATAATAATTCAGTGGCGATGGGTAGCAATTTCTGGCAATGCATGCCTGAAAAGAATTTAAAATAAGCTTTTCACTCAAAAATATTTCAAAGTGTAATTTTAATAAATGCAACAGGTTTAAGCAAGCATAATTTCTGAAAGATGGACTAAATTCAACTACATAGGATTAAACAATTAACCTCACCTGGAACAAGGAACTATTTGGGACCCCAATAGGATTTTTGAAATACCTGCGATGCCCGACACCATATCGGCTTATTAGGGAAAAACTGAAGTCAGGTAGAACAGAGTCTGGCAGGTTTGCAGAAAAGTGTCAGGAATGCACTGGTGCTACAGGTGCAATATTGAGGACTATGGACTAATGTTATATACCAGTGATGGTGAACCTTTTAGAGTCCGAGTGCCCAAACTGCAACGCAAAACCCACTTATGCATCGTCAGGTGCCAGGTGGGTGTGGCTTATTGGCTGGGTGTGGCCAATTGGGGGCGAGGCCCATTGGGTGGGCGTGGCTGCAGTGGTAATGGCAGACTGGGTGGGACTAAAAAGTTCAATCAATCAATTCCAACTTTGCAAGATCTTTTTTTTCCCCACAAGAAGTTGAAATTGACTGATTAAACCTTTTTTTCTTTTTTTTGCACACAGCGGCAGAGGCCTAAAGTGAAAAGGTTTTATAAAACCCAGCTGAAGGCCTAGGACTGGGCGACAGCGTGCGTGCCCACAGAGAGGGCTCTGAGTGCCGCCTCTGGCACCCGTGCCATACGTTTGCCACCATTGTTATATACCACTCCTAACTATGCAGGACATTAGTAAGCTGTTTTTTTTAAATTAAACACAGTATCTAAGCTTTAAGATATGGTAACGAAAAGCAGAACCTCACTGAAGAAGTATCCTTACTAAATGAACAGCATGATCTATTTCTTCAGTGGTTACACCTGGCTTCACCATCATGGCAGCAACATCTAAGACTTCTCTAGCAAGCTGCAGAATAAAGGGACAGAAGTTATTCAAATGACAAACATTTTCCGTGGAATAAATATCGTTATGTAAAGACATTTTCGAAGTAAGCATGCAAAGACCTTTCTTTTTAGATTCTACTTCAATGGTTCTCAACCTGTGGGTCGGGACCCCATTTGGGGTCGAACGACCATTTCACGGGGGTCGTCAAACAACACAGTCCACCATTTTTTCCCCCTTTTCCTTAGCTGTGCTACTCCCTTTTATTCTATTGGCTTTTGAAAGCCAATAGAATACACTCTCTTGAATAGAGTCTAATTCTATTGGCTTTCAAAAGCCAATAGGAATTGTCCAGGCTGTCTCTGCCCTGCTGAGCCCACCAAAAGTCCCATTCTGCAAACGGTGCTGCACCAGTTGAGTAGTCCTTGACTTACGACCGGTTGAGTAGTCCTCAACTTACGACTGGTTGGGGGGTCGCAGCATTAAAAAAGTTGAGAACCACTGTTCTATTTCATTGTGACCAATGTTGTGCAGTATAAACTTACCCTACACACAACCCGCATCCCTTCTATATCTTCTGAAGAAAGGATCTTTATCTGAGATGTTCCTTTAAGGGCCTGTTCTGACTCAGACATACCTAAAAGGAAAGATTATCAGTATTATAATAGTACATTTATCTCCCGTGTTTCCTCCAGAAAGATCAAGGTTAGAAAACATATGAAGCTGCCCTCTTATTTTATCCCAACAATGACACCCAATGAACCGAGAGATGATTGTTCAAAAATCAATAGGGACTTTGTGGTTCAATGGGAATTTAAAATCTGGTTTATCCCAGCCCCAGATTTCAACTATTATATTATACTAGGAAATGGTATCTATTCACAATAAATTTTAGAAACAAATGCATGTTGGTTGCATGTAAAAGCTAAAGAAAATTTACTTTCCGTAAACTACAACAGCATTTACAAACAAGTCAATGGTTAATATAAATCAATGATGTGAGCACATGTGAAATAATGTGTGTAGTTCTGGGCACCACACTTTAAAAATGATAGGGTGGAACTAAAGAAGGTTCAGAGGAAGATAATGAAGGGGGGTGGAGCCGCTTCCTCGTGAGGAGAGGTTGCAATATTTGGGCCTTTTTCCTTTAGAAAGGAGGCAAATGAGACAGGGCATGGGTGAAGTATACAAATTACGTATGGTGTAGATCAGTGTTTCCTAAACTTGACAATTTTAAGGCATGAGGACTTGGGAGTTGAAGTCCACATGCCTTAAAATTGTCAAGTTTGGGAAACACTGGTATAGATATACAGGACAAGGAAAATGTATTTTTTCCCTTCCAAAAAAACCAGAAGTCACCCATTAAAACTGAATTTTAAAAGAATCAGGACTGACTAAATGAATTCTTTTTTACACAATAAGTAATTCAGCTTTGAAGTTCACTACCACAAAACATAATCCTAGCTACCAGCTGGTTTCCAAAGAGTTGGGATTAATGGCTATTAGCTTGATGGTAATATAAGTGCCTCTGAAGGCTGTCTACTGGAAGACTCTAGAGAGCTGTCCTGTGCAATTGGCTGGCCATTGTGAGAGCAGACTACTGAACTAGATGGGCTAGGAGTCCAAGCTGGTTGGGCAGTGCTGATCTCATATATGGTTGGATCAGCTTGAATCCAGATGAAAAATTAGAATACTCTGGTGTTGAAATGTACCAGAATGTTCCATACCAGAATGGTAGGTTTTGCATATAAAGTCTGCAATTATATCTGAAATAATTTTAAAGGATAAGGGATGTTAATAAAAATAAAGACGGGAGCAAAACAAAGAAACACTATATATGACATGTCTTCTTACTTGAACTTCCCCTAATTCTTCTCAAACATATGACAGAGTTATCTAGTGAAACAGTGTGACCAAATGTGTGTTACCCAACAAAGGATGGCTAATGTTTGTTTGTGAAATTCAGAAATAACTTGTTTGAAAAAAAAAATATTTTTTTAATGCAACCGGTTACTAAATCTGAAGCATACATCCAAATGTTTTATAGACATACCCATTCTGAAAAAGAAATAGTTAACACAGTTTAAATTAATCACAGGCTCAACAAATGAAAATTGCACCATGCCGCTATAATTACCTAAAGGGTGATCTGCATAATCTGGCCTTTGAATGTAACTCGGCACAGGCCTCATTGGCATCTAAATAAAGCACAATTAAGATCTGTTTGAACATATTTATTAGCTTAGTCATTCTGAATGCGGATGACAGTTGCTAGAAAACAAATTATAAAATGGATATTTTCAAATCAAATGAAAGCACATATTATAATCTCCCATCCAAGAGCCACAAGCCAAGTGTGTTGTTTGATGAGCCAGTGTCAGATAAAAGGAGACACAACAATGGGAGACATCAGCAAAAAATAGCTAGAAGTCAGCCTAAGAGCCCAAACTATAAAAATAATCCCGAGATCCAAAGGAAGAGACAATATTCCAGGTAGGCAGATGTTCAGGAATCAAAGAGAAGAGACAGGAACTGGAGACAAAGACTAGCACACACAAATGTCCTTAGCAATTCTCAAGATGTAGATGAAGAAGAATCAACACTGAACTCCAATCACATTCCTCTGGGAATCCTTAGCTCTATGAAGCCTAGTACACCTTAGGGAAAAAGTGTTCATCTCCCAAGTAACCCTCCCAAGATGCCTATCTTTAAAGTCTTTCAGTTCTTCACCATTCTGTATGTTACTCTGAAACATCGCAATCACACTGAACTCCTGGGCTCGGAAATCAAAAGAGTTCTTCTAGTTTAGATGCTTAAATTAGAAGCTCAAAAAGCCAAGAAAATACTGTTTCTGCTTCTGGTTCAGTCTAACACTTTAGGAAATAGGTTTCTCTTAGTACTCAAGTTGCCCAATCCTACCTCTCTTCCTCTAATGAGGATTTCTCTAAGGTGGCTCCAGCTTAAAAATCCTGAGCTACAGGAATGAAGCCCAAATTAAAACGATAAATACTCAAGTTTGGACAATAGCCAAATTTTCAGTAATTCCACCATTCCTTTTTGTAGCTACTGAAGTAATTGTATACTTATGAAGTCTCAGTTTGACAACTGGATGTCAGAGGCAAAACAGAATTCAGTGACTCTGAACAACAATGACATACCACTATAGTTCCCAAGGCATTATGTGAGCCTTCCAAAAACCTTCTATTGAACTGTAATATTCAGTGATGCAGAAGGAGAAAATATTAAATGCGTACTGCTTCAATTATATTTTGATTTGCATTTTTGTTTTGTTTCTTTGCTTTCCGAGTTGTAATAACAAGCCCCGACAAGATAACATGTCCTTGACTTTAAGGATTGCGGAAGCACTGCAGGAAGCCTGCTGCTCCAGTTTAAACTGGATGTCTCAAATCACTGCATTAGGAGACACAGCATCTATACCAGCAGTTCCCAACCTTTTCTATACCCAGCACCCCTAGATCACTTCTGATATATTCTTACACCCCTTACAAAAGATCGAAATAACGGCAACAAATTATGCATATACACTGTAATTTTGAAAACCCAAGTTTTCACACCCCCTGGAATATCATCTTGCACCCCTAAGGGGTTCAAGCACCCCCGGTTGGGAAGCCCTGATCTATACAGAGCCAATATCCCAAATTTTCTATAGACTCACCCAGCAAGACAACTGGGAGCTTCCATTGGCATTAAAGGTTGCAAACTGCCAAAATCATTATTACATGAATGACAGTGACTAATTCTGCAATATGCAGAAGAATTTACATATTTAGCAGCTGTTTATTACCAGATTCTCAAAATCTCATTTAACCAAATTTACTGAAAGGAAAAAAGATTATTTTACAAAAATGTAGAGCAATTTCCTATGCTCTTAAATGATGTCATAAAAGCCTTAGAAGACATAGAAACACATTCTGAAATAGGTTTGCAAATCACATCAACAATGATTTGAGAAGACATACTTATAACTGTGTCTCAGGAGAGCCCAGCATCATAAAAATAAAACTGTAACTAAATCATGACTGACTGAGCAGAGAGAAAATGAAAGCAGGTAACAGAGATCTAAACCATGGTTGACCTACATAACTGAAAGCGCAATCATGATTTAATTCTGAACTATTAGCAAAGCAAACTTTGAATCTAATACAATGCTTCCCAAACCTGGGTAAATTGCCCAGAACTGGGTAAAAGTATTTCTTTGGCTTCGTCACATGAATCATTACCTAATTACAACAGAGACACTTATATAAGAACTTTCTGATAAATTGTAAAAAGGATTTTCTAGTAAATGATTTGAGTAATGAAGAAGGTAGATACTGGTCTAATATGTGGAATAGACGTTATTCTATCTTCATTCCTTTTTGATTCTGCAATCACCATCTACATTACCACCATAGTCAACTACTGCACCCATGATAACAGAAAATTATTTTTGAAAGTCAGTGTTTCTTCAAAGATGAGGTACTATTGTATGAGAGTTTATCTCCTAGCAAAAACCCCTGAACATTCTGTTAGTAGGTTTTATCAGGGCAGGAACTAAATTATTTATCAGTCAGCTCTGCAGGTTAGTTCACACATAACAAGAACTGATAATAATTTGGTTCTTTTATGAATTCACTTATTATGGCTTAGTGCTACATTCACAGCTAATTACAATGGTTATTTCAAAAACCATGTTTAACTAATCATGACTTAATATATTATTAGTCACTCACTATATTATCTGCACCTGTCAAGATTTAGAATGGCCTTAAAATACTTTTTTCCAGAGCCTATGTGAAGTTGGAAGACCACTTCTAAAAATATATTTTAAAATGTCTGATTTGTTCTTATCAAACTGAGCTGCTGTTTATATGCACAGTCATTTCCAAGCTGAGAAAATATTTGCGGAATAAAGACCAAGTCTTATATTATGGACTACCCACTAAAACAGATTTGACTAATGTTTCCTTTGTTCTTTATAAAGTTGGTCCTTGACTTTTGAATACAGTTGGACCAGAATTTCTCTTGCTAAGCAAGGCGGTTGTTAAGTGAGTTGCGTCCCAATTTTACAACCTTTTTTGCCAGTTGTTAAGCAAGTCACAGCAGCTGTTAAGCGAATAATGCAGTTATTGACTTTGTTTGTTAGATGTCAGCTGTTAAGACTGAAAATGGTGATCACATGACCCTGGGACACTGCAGTTGTTGCAAATATATGCCAGTTACCAAGCGCCCGAATTTTGATCACATGATCGCGGAGATCCTGTGACAATAGTAAGCGCAAGGACTAGTCTTAAGTCACTTTTTTTTTATTTCCACTGTAATTTTGAATGGTTCCTAAATTATTGGTTGTAAGTCAAGGACTACCTGTACTGGAATATTATGTCTCTAAAAGGGACAGCATATTGCTATTGAAAAACAAAAAATCTTATGGCATTTTAGAGATTAACAAACTTAAATTTATATAAGCCTTCACGGAAGTGGACTCAATTCATGAAAGACAAATAATACAATCTGTTAGTTTCCATAAAACTCTCTCTTTAATGAATAGTAGGTTATTTCAAATTATTTGTTATATATTATGGTAAAATAACCATCAAAATTGTCTTATGGGCACACATCTTTAAAAAATAATTGGACAATCACGTTCTCTAACTGGGAGAACTATCATGAAAAAATTACCTGCCTGTGGTTTGACTGGCGGAAAAACTGAACAAAGTGACACATTTCAGTTATTTCACCTATTTACCAGTGGATAATGTGGCCTGAGTTTCCCAGTATATCGATAACCAGCCCAGGGATCTGTGTTTATGTCTCCATCTACAGTCCAGGCAGAAACTTCTCGTTTTGCTTTCTCATCTTCTATAAAACAAAAGCAGAATCATTACTGATCTTAATAAAAAAAAACTTCCATCAAACATCAAAAATTGAAAAGTTATATGGATAGATGGAACTCCTTTCCATTCTCTTCTTTAGATGTCTACATTTTTCCCTGCATGCTTGCTTTTCCTGTACAATCTAACTCAGATACTATTTGTATAAAGATCACTTTTGCCAAAAAATTATAAAAAAGAAATAAATCCCAGTCAGTACTAAAGCACAAGCCTAGTCTTGCTTTGCCCATTTTTAATAGGCGCATGCCGAGATTCACTGTCAAAACTATATTGTTCCAATGATACTGTGTCTTTATTTTTCAATTCCTCTGTATTACTCTGAACTTATTTTTTAAATAATCATGTCTTACACCATTCCTAAAGTAGTGAAAGATCACAACTGTTTAGGAAACTAAATCCCAAGGTCCCATGCAGACATAGAAACTTATTAATGTGTAAAAAAACATTGTCTAGAAAGCAATCAGAAATATTTTAAGAAAGGGACTGAAGTATCAGATCATTTTAATGATTGTACCATTGCAAGCTACAGTTGTGGCTTTCCATGTGTATGAATGTTTTTCCATAAAAAATGAAGAAAATCTATATATTAATAAAAAGGTATCAAGAAAAATAATAACTTAAATCATTTTTCCCTGACATCCAGACTGGATTTATACACCATGCTAAGCCATAATATGGTGTGATTATCCCATTGTGTTTTGTGAATCCAGCTGCTCTGAATTATCAACTGTGTGTATATTAATCCAGCCAATTGAGCAAATTCAACAAACCATAATTAAACAAAGCATCATTGAGTGCAACACATGGACTGGGTGTGTTATACAAAATACCATTCAGTCCTCTATGAATCCTTGTATGATATACATCAGTTCAGACTACAAACCCAGATTTATTATACCAGTAACAACCAAACAGAGTTATTACAGATTGATTTTAGGATGATTTGATGTCAATACCAACAAAATAGGTTGTAAAGGAAGTATGATAAAATCAAAAGAATGTACTTGCTTACTCGCTTTCTTGTGTAGCAATTTGTGAGTAGCCCAGCTTCCTTTAAAACATTCCTAAAAAGGGAAATTATATAAATTTAGCAATACACTGAAACAGATCAACTTTATATGGCTAACATAGTTCCACAGGTTAGAAACCACACACTCCAGAACAGTGGTTCTCAACCTTTTTAATGCCGCGACCCCCAATCAGTCATAAGTCGAGGACTACTCAACCAGTTGTAAGTCGAGGACTACTCAACTGGTGCAGCACCGTTTGCAGAATGGGACTTTTGGCGGGCTCAGCAGGGCAGAGACAGCCTGGACAATTCCTATTGGCTTTTGAAAGCCAATAGAATTATACTCTATTCAAGAGAGTCTATTCTATTGGCTTTCAAAAGCCAATAGAATAAAAAGGAGTAGCACAGTTAAAGAAAAGGGGGGAAAAATGGCGGACTGCATTGTTTGGCGACCCCCGTGAAATGGTCATTCGACCCCAAATGGGGTCCTGACCCACAGGTTGAGAACCACTGCTCTAGAAAGATGAAGGAAAATAGGTTTTCCTTACAGCTCACTGCACTTCAGTTCAAACATTAATTGTATTTCTTTTTAATGATAAGGCTCAAAAGCCACTTGACATGAAAGTATATATGACTAATATTGCTTTTATATATCTGTAGTATGTTTTTAAAGCATTTTAAAAACATCTTAGTTTAGTCTTGGACTGGAAACATAGAACCCTTTCATATCTTTTTTATTATTATTATCAGACTTATTTCCCAAACATCTCTCAGTTCAAGGCAACTCTGACTCTTTTATGGCAATATATGTTGTGACGACATGGGGATAGAACATAATTTTTGGCATTTTAAAATGGAAAACAGTTTCCTGGAGCCTAAATGATAACATTCACAGCACTGCTAGATAGTACAATACCCACCATCACATCTCCCACTGGTTATAGCCTACCATTAAAAAATAAAGTTTTCATGCAGCCCAAAACAAAAATTTAGCAAAATCATGGAGAGGAAGTCCAACCATTGCTAAATCCTACATTCCCTAAAAGGCAACATGTTGATGGTTTCTTCTTACAATCCTGTTTTTCAGGAGCCTACCTTAGCCTGGAGTAGTCACTGCAAAAGGCAGCTCCACAACACCAGTAAAAGGTGGGCCACTGAATTCCTCATATGTACAACCTTTACACACCTATCTTTTTTTAATCCTTCAAAAATATATTCTGAATGCTTGATTCAACTTGATTTCCTATGCAAATATTTTCCTCAACCCAGTTCTATTAAAAACAAGCCTGATTTCATTCATAATTTGTAAAACTATTGCTATATTTGCAAGAAGAGCAAAAACCTAACACAAAGATGTTCCCATTTCCTTTTCTCCCAACTCTCATCTTTATACATTAATTTGTTAATGACACAGAGGTGGTTGCTGCCTTTTAATTTTTTTCATTTTGATTTCTTGTATTAATTTCTTAAGAAAAATAATCAAATGGATTTCACGCATTATAACCCTTAAAAACCTGACAGAAGCAGAGTCTAATCTTGTGGCTTTCCAGCACATTTAACTTGAAGCCAATGAAAGTATTTATAATCAAAGAAGACTGCAAAAGGCTTCTTCCTTGAAAACCTAGTATACATATATTTGTATGAATACCACAGAAACCATGTAAGATTTAAAACAAGTATTTACTACATATGTATACAAATTTTCCTGAGTTTCCACACTCATGTCATTCTTAATGGACATTGCATGTGTTTTACACTACATGTAAAACTACAGTTTATGCTTTTACTAGTGTGCACAAATATGAATTCAGGTCCAACTGCAAGCAGGATTCTTAAATAGGATAAAAGAGTCAGACTTACAGTATAATACTATGTGCTTAAGTATGATTCGCAGTAGGAAAAAAAAGGACATTTCCTTATAACTGCTCCCCAAATTTCTGTAGCCAGCTCAGGTAGCACAGCTAGCTGACTTAGGCTAATTTCAAATGAGCATGGTACCTGGGTGTTATACCAACAGGACACCCAAGAACTCTTAGTAAGGCTGAAATATTGAAAAACCATTCCGGAAAAAAATCATGGCAGATCATTTCTCTACTAATTTCAGTAAAACTACATTGATATGTCCATACTGTCACCAAAAGCTGAAACTGATTCAGAGGAATACTCTACATCACGGGAATATTCTACATCACGGGTGTAAAAACAGCCATGTCACGTGACATGTTGTGATATATCACAACTTTTTTTGCATTGCTGGAGCTGGGGTGGGCGCAGCCTCCGCATGATGCAACCGGCCCACGGGCCGGCAGTTTGACACCCCTGCTCTACATGGACGGTAGAAATGTTAGAACTTTGGAAAAAAAGAGAAAGATTTTTCTTCTAAAAAAGAAAGTTCAATTGATTTTAAAAGTTGAACTATGGAAATAAAGCCATGATATTAAATGAAGACAACACAGGCCACCCATGTTCAGAATCACTCTTAATTACGATTGCATTCCAGGGTCTCCTAATGCACTGGAAAATTTAGAATAGTTCTGGTGCCAAGGCCTGATTTTCTTCAAATTTGACACAGAAACTTGTTATAGTTAATATCAAAACCTTAGCCTGTAGGCTGCTTTTAGAAGAAAAGTTTTGGCAAAAATTCCCTCTGCAATAAACTAAAATATCCAAAGTGCAACAACAATCACTTGCTGACAGACAGGAAGAACACAGCCCTTGTTTTTTTCTCTCTCTAAATCTGTCTTGTGAATCTTGAAGACAGAACCCATAAAAAGGGGGAAAAAATGTCAGGCTTTGAGTGCTTTGTCCTTCAGCATTTATGGGGCCTATTCCTAACATTAATGAGAAAGAAAACGTAGCTCCCTTGCTTTAGATTTTCCCATTTTTGACATGTAAGCTCCAGGGCAGAAAACCTTATAAAAAGTGGGGAGTGAGGTAGGAAGAGAGACGGTAAGAAAGATTTAGGGCTTTAGATCATTTTTACAGTACCCGAGCTGCATATATTGGGACTACAAGTAACATCACTGGGAAGAATGGACACTGTAGTCCTTTGCTCTATATCGAATTTCAGGTTGAATGATAAGGCTTTTTCTCCCTTAGCAACAACCAAAGGAAGAAGGCAAACTTGAAAGAGAGAGAGACAGACCCTGCTAGCAGAAATGCAGAAATCCCGGCAACACCATGAAGTCTCTCTGAATTCAGTTCCTCACTTGCCAGCAAAACGTGCTCAGGCGGCCAGAGAACAGGCCCGGGCCCAGCCAGCCTGAGTCACACCTGCCTTGGAAGGGCAGCAGCCGTTCCACATGTCCCCAGGCGCAGGCAAGCCCCGCGTCCCGGAACCCCAGTCTCCAAACCGAAAGGAAGGCGGGCTGGCGCGGCCGGGGCCCCGCTCGGACCAAGCGCCCGTCGGGGGAACCTCTGCGGTCGAAGCTTTCTGCCGCTCCGCCCGTTGGCGGGCAAAGAGCGCCCCGAGCAGCGGCGATTTACCTGCGAGCAAAAGTAGGATCCCTGGATGCCCAGCTTGATGCAGGTGGGGCACTGCAGCTTGGCCTCGCTGCTGCATCCCGCCGTCTCGCACACCCGGGCTTCCACTGCCGCCATGCTGCCTGCTGCGACTGCCGCCACAGGAGCGACCCAGGCAGACGGCGGGAGAGCAGCGGCAGCAACCACCGGGAAAGGGCGGAGGGAAAGGCGGAACTCTCGGCCTGGAGGTTCCCGATTGAAATAGGGAGGGGCTCCAGGCCCCGCTTGCCCGCCCCCGGCTCTCTCCGCCCTCTGAAGAGGGATGGGTGGAAACGGAGCGAGGCTGAGAGTCGGTGGCGTCGCTTCAGTCAGGCCCTACCGCCTGATATCAGACCCCGCAACGCTTCCCTAATCGCCAAGAGTGCTTTTGCTCACCACTAAGCAAGCCCCCGGTTGTTCCGCGAGTTTGCGTTTGAGCCACGCGCGAAGTATCCTCATCCGGACTTGTTGCACTCGTCAGGCTTCGCACGACCAACTTACCTCCTCAAATAACGGATCCTTCGGTTCCTTCGATCTTCCAGGCTCGAGGAGCTGCTGGTTCACTGCCTGGGCTAGGTTGGCGATATGGTTTCTGGCTCTCTGGTTTTCTTCGATTTGCTCGGACTTTAGGGACAGGTTCTGTTTTCCTACTTTCTAGAGGATGTTAAAAGTGAGAGGGGAGATCATATATAAATTTATGTAAAATATAATATAAATGATATAGGTCGTCACTCCAATCATTCTTATCCAAATTCTTCAATGAAAGGTAAAATGCTGGATTAGCATGGAAAAACAAAGGAAGGTGATCCGTCTTTATCATAGCTAAATGCTTAACATCATAAAAGAATCCCGAAGTAAAAAATATCATATTTGTATATAGTCTTTCTGAATCTGTTATATACAGGTTTCTTTTAAATGCAGCTAATTCACTGGTAGACTATGGGCTGTCCTGTGATACCAATGTGCTTGTACACGCTTGAGGCAGTGTGCCTACAGGCCTCCCTTTTCCGACTGACTTTTAATTTTTAAAATATTACTGTAATTATAAATAAATAAGGTAGAAGTTGACATGCCTGCCACATAGTATGTGGCATAGCTTTTATTGCCTAAAACATTTCTCAGCCCCATAGGCATGATTTCAAAATAAAAATGATAAATTTCTGTAAGCTCTTGTTTCATTTGGAAGTACCTCAAGTCCAAATTCATCCCCCAAAATACAAAAATAAAGCAAAATAAGGTGCAAATTTACAAGTTTGGCTTCTGGTGGATGTTCATAACTGGTCACTAACTTTATTTAAAAGTTTAATTAATTTGGCTTCTTTTGTTTTTTTTATTAGTAACCTCAAGTGCATTTTTAAGTGTCAAATGCTTTAAATGAGCATCATATACACTACATTACCAAAATTACATTTACACATGATTCAGCATGAACAATGTTTAAACTTTGCTGTTTGGTTTCAGAACTGTGAAGTCTGTCATTATGGTGGGTATAAGAATCCAATCAATCCTCTGGTATTCTCAGTTAAATGCAATATTTTCCTGAAACATGGATCTAACTGAATTGAAGTCATTGGAAGAGGACAATACATGTGTATTTTTTTGAATAAATAAGATATAGCTGTTGTTTCTTAGTAAATAAGATTGCTTTTGATTAAATTATAATGTATTTAATTATATGACTATACTATCGGGATAAGGGTAGTTGTCCAATGCATTTGGAAAGTGCAGAGTTAAGGAAGAATATATTACAAATGGTTGTGTTTTAAAATGACAAAGTGTAAGAGAAAAATGGTGTTGCTAGATGCTTATTGTTAGGCCTTTATCATTAGTATCATTTTGATTTTTCATTAATATCCTAACAAACTAATGAACAATAGCAAAATTCTTTCATTTGAATGCTATAGACTCAAGGTTTCCAAACTCCATGATGAGGATGTGTTGTAATCATCATCATCATCATGTTACAAGGGACCTTGGAGGTCATATAGTTCAACCCCCTGCTCAGGCAGGATACCCTATACCAGGCATGTCAAACTGCCAGCCTGCGGACCCGATGCATCACCACGAAACCACATCCACCCCATTGCTGGTAATGGGGAAAAAATCACATGACGTCACAAGTTTGACATGCCTGCCCTATACCATATCAGACAAATGGCTGTCCAGTCTCTTCTTAAAAACTTCCAGTGTTGGAGTATTCATAGCTTCTGGAGGCAGGTTGTTCCACTGATTAATTATCCTCATTGTTAGGAAGTTTCTCCTCAGTTCTAGGTTGCTTCTCTCTTTGGTTAATTTCCATTCATTGCTTCTTGTCTTGCATTCAGATGCTTTGGAGAATAGCTTGACTCCCTCTTCTTTGTGGCAACCCCTGAGATATTGGAACACTGCTATCATGTCCCCCCTCGTCCTTCTCTTCATTAAATTTTCATTTTCTAAAGTGATATTTTTTGAGGGATGGATTATAATGTCTATACTTAGCTTAAAAAAGAACTAAGGTACATCATAGCACAGTTACACTTCTGTCTGAAGGAAATTCCATATAAACAAACAAACCTTCATAATATAGAGTTTCACATTATATTGCACATTATCCATCAGAATGCTGCATTTTGATTTCAGTTCTTATGATATAAACCCTCTTCTATTCTCCTGAAATCAGAAGAGAAAATCTAAGCAGAAAATTGGTAGAAGAGGACCAGAGCAACAGCATATCAGTTAAAGAAAAACATTAAAATAAAGGATATAGTTTGAAGTCATATTAGAAGTATGTAAGTATAGTGTATAATAAAACATTCAAATTCAACATTCCTCTGATCAGTAGCAATTAAATAAGACATTGAAATATTTTGTTTTATGCTGTACATTGAAGATGTGTAAATCTAACATTTACTATTCCTTCGCACTTCATAAATACTGTAATGAACATATAGATTGATTCAGTAGAGTTTCATGGACTCACTCATTCGATTCTCAAGAATTTTCCTTCTCTCTCTACCCCACTTTGCCACCCATTCATAAAGAGAATCAGAAATGACCACATATTTTATCCAGGCTTTACTTGATAGGAATTTTGAGTAAATGTCCAGATTTCATTATCAAGGTTTATCCTCACTACTCGGTATTTCCAATATGAAGACATTCTGTTAACTGTTTTTAGGAGACTTGCCCTCTTATTGCAGCAGGAATTTACATAATCTTCAGCTGTTTTGGTTTTAAAGTTATATTTGTCTGACACAAGTCTTGCTACAGGAATAGTGTATACCTCATTGACAGTGTTGATAAATGTCAGGCACTGGGATCTGGCCATCTCCCACTGACTACTTTCTGCTTATGGCTATGCTTTCAACTAAATGTAATAGCTTGGGGAACACCATTTCACCTATTTCAGTATCATTTTGCATTCTTAATGGGATATTCCTTGTTGCTACCTACTGAGACGCATGTTGTCACCTGCCACCTCCATTTACTGACTTTAGATACCTAGGTAGTGGGGTTAAATTCATGAAGAGTTATGTTGGTTTTGCTTTCCAATGTGACCACTATATCAAACTGGTTCTCTTTTTACAGTGTTAGAACTTATCAGTCAAAATGAAATTTGAAGAGATGGAAAATGGTGTAATTTGCTGCAGAAACCAATACCAGATTTTGCAATGGAATTCCTTGAAACAAGAGTATAGCTGATATAATCTCAGTGTGTAACTCACTATATGGGACTGAATAAACTCTATTATAGTACGGACAGAATAATCAATGATGGAACAGTACTATAACATTGCAGAACGAGAACACTGCAGAATATACATTGTTCCTTTTCTATATAGCAGTCATAAGACTTGTTTCCTGGATAGATACTTTATTAAACTTTATGCCATTCAACTCTCTAACGATTCTGAGCAGTTCACAACATTCAAACAAAGAAATTACAATAAAACAAAAAAATAAAAAAGATGCCAAGTGTGATGAAGATACACGTTGCTGATATTTCTGAAGATGTGACTTTATTGTATAGGTGTTTAGATGCGTTCAGATTGTTTTTCATTTCTGACAAGAATAATTAAATCCATTTTGAAACAAATTGTTTTCAGTTGTGAATGAAGGCAAGTATACGTCTCCCAAGATAATGTTGCAGGATCCAATCTGGATTGGTCACTAGGAGTGGAGGTTTTGTCTTCAGAGCTTTCGGACTCATGCTGGAACCCATTCCACAAGGAACTTCTCTCTAGCCAGAGACTTTCCGAAAGCTTGGAAGACAAAACCTCTACTCCCAGTGACTGACCCAGGTTGGATCCTGTCTTCAGTTGTGTACAGAATGCTTTGTCTGAGTGTCATATTCTTTTCTTTAAAATGTGTATTGTAGAAGTCTTCCTTGATTTGTTGTTTTCTGAATGTATTCAGTTTCAGCTTCCATCATCCCCCAACTAGCATGGCAAAAAACAGGAGTTAATAATAATAATGATAATAATAATGTTATTGTTGAAAGGAAGGAATATTGGAGGTCATCTAGTCCAACCCCCTGCTCAGGCAGGAAACCCTAAACCATTTCAGACAAATGGCTGTCCAGCCTCTTCTTAAAAACTTCCACTGTTGGAGCATTCACGGCTTATGGAAGCAGGTTGTTCCGCTGATTAATTGTTCTGTCAGGAAATTTCTCCTTAGTTCTAGGTTCCTTCTGTCTTTGGTTGGTTTCCATCCTCCGTTGCTTTTGTCCTGCCTTCAGGTACTTTGGAAAATAGCTTGACTCCCTCTTCTTTGTGATAACCCCTGAGATATTGGAATACTATCATGTCACCCCTCGTCCTTCTCTTCATTAAACTAGACATACCCAATTCCAGCCACCTTTCCTTGTATGTTTTAGCTTCCAGTCCCTAATCATCTTTGTTGCTTTTTTCTGCACTTTTTCTAGAGTTTCAACATCTTTTTTACATTGTGGTGAGCAAAATTGAATGCAGTATTCCAAGTGTAGCCTTACCAAGGCGTTATAAAGTGGTATTAACACTTCACATGATCTTGATTCTAACCCTCTGTTAATGCAGCCTAGCACTGTGTTGGCTTTTTTTGGCAGCTACCGCACACTGCTGGTTCATATTTAAGTAATTGTCCACTAGGACTTCGAGATCCTTCTCACAGTTACTACTATTGAGCAAGGTACCACCTATACTATATCTGTTCATTTGTTTTTTCTTGCCTAAATGTACTTTTTTCACCATTGAATTTCATTTTGTTAGATAGCGCCCAATGTTGAAGTCTGTCAAGATCCTTCTGTATCTTAAGCCTCGGTTTACTAGCAATTTTTTGACTAAGAACATATAATAAAGTGTATTATTTGGAAAAGGGGCTGCTGTCCTCCAGATGTTGTGCCCCCTCCCAAAGAATAATATGGCTGCCCTCCAAAAATGTGGCAGTTGCTCACAGGCTTTCAGAGGGATGGAGATCCATCACATTTCAAGACCACAAAGGCAACATTGTTAGTGAAAATAGAGAGTAAGCCAAAAATTGGGCAGCTGCACTGGAATCCATGTTCCTATTCTGAGAGTGGGAATTTCAAGAAAAATACTGGAGAGCTAATGTAGATCCCTCGTCAAATTATCCTTAGGATTTCAGATTATATCGTCTGTTTCAGGCAAGCTTATTAAGAATCACGGGATGCCTAGTAGAATAAGAAGTCCTTTGCTGTTATTCTGTACAATTAAAACACACAGGCGAAGAAGCAACTGATCGCTCCTTCGCCTTTCCGGCTCGCTTTCAGATTTTGGATAGGGAGCTGAATGGTGACGACCGGAGAGACGAGGGTCGGCTTGCATCACACATGCTGACACCCTGTGACAGAAAAGGACCAGCTGCGCCGTCAGGCCGGGCATCGGCGGGGGGATGCAGAGGTCACACCCGCAGGCTGCTCCTGCAATTGCCAATTTCGGACTCGAGGAGTCACTTTCCCCCACTCTTAGGAACCACGCCTCAGCCTGACATGCTCCCGTCTGCCTTTCCCACGTGATTTCTCTCCTAGAAAAGGAAGGTGGAGAGAGGGAAAAAAATAATTCGAGACTACAATTCCCAGAAGACACTGCTGCTGCCACTGCTCCCTCTGGAAGCGGGCACCAACCCCTCCCGCACCGGGCTTGCGCACGCGCCGAGCCGCCAAAACGGCCGCCGCCTCCACGTGACTCCCCACTGACCAATCGTTTTCGAACCTGATTTGTTATCCGCCTTCCCCTTTTACCTCTCTCCTCCCCTCAGCGCTTGTGCGATCAGAGCGATCTAAGATGGCGACGGTGGAACCGGTGAGTGTCCTTATTCCCGTTTCCTCCCTTCGTTTTACCCCTCCTTCCTCCCCGCCTTCCTCTTTTTCCCCGCTCTCGGTCTGTCACTTAGGCTTCCGAGAAGATTGTGGAAAAGCCACTCGGCCCTGAAGGGGACAGAAAATCTCAGCCAGAAAGCCGAAAGGGTGGGGGTGGGGGGAAGAGAGATGGTTGGCGAAGAGAGAGCGGCAGACAGCGGCCTGGGAAGTTGTGTGTGGCGCGCGCGCGTACGGCGAGCGAAAGGCGCCGGCGTGTGTGATGGACTGCCTTGCGGGAGGAGGATGGGAAAACCTGGGAGGCCAGAGAAGGGGGCTCCGAGTGCGTGAGGCGAGCGGCCAGGATTGTGCCGTCACAGTTTGGGCGGGGGCGCTGAGGGGCGACGGGGAGGGGTCGTGTGACGGGTGAGGTGGAGAGAGGAAGGCCGAAGACGGCCGGCGTGTGCAGGGAGAGGAGAATTCACCACGAGAGAGGAGGGCGGAGCTCGGTCGGACTCTGGGCCCCCATCCTGGACATAACTTCTCTAGAATTCGTCGTGCCAGCTAGCGGATAGTGCCGCTTATGCCGGCCTGTTTCTCCTTGTCTCCCCGCGCCTGCCAGATACGAGAGTGCCCAAACACCGGCGAGAATACCTTCCTCCACCGCTCCCATCCCTGATCTTCGTGGCTGCTCTCAATGCTGTTTCAACGCCCGTTTGTTTCCTCTCGGGCGGCACCGACCTGTGGGCTCCGAACCAGGCGACAGACATTGCTTTTTTCCGGTTCCTGGCTTAACTTGTTCCCTTGTCTTTTTTGCTCCTCGGTATTTCCCAAGAAAAGTTTAGTTATAATTGAAGCCCACAGAACTGGCTAGAAAAAAAATTCTTTCACAGTAGCATAATTTGGGCCGGATCTGTAGCTCTGGAGTCCTGATCATTTCGTTGTACTTCAGTTTACAACTTTTCCATAAAGAAGATTGTGATTTAGGCCTTCTTCATACACTTTCGTATATTTAAATAGAAATTTGTTGTTCTTTCTCCCCTAGCTGTGCAGAATTTTTAAGGCCAAACATCATTGTCAAATACTAATTTGTTAAACGAAAAGTTGCCCATCATACTCCCTTTCCCATTGCAACATGCTATATTGTGAGTAAAGAGCTGAACGTTGACGTGCAATGGAAGGTGACAGTAGTAATACTAAGCAAGGGAAAATACTGGCATTGAACCAAGAGATCTGCAGTTGGCACTGACATTGTAGGTAGTGCCAAGTTAAACACTCAGGTAGGCTTAGCAGTATTTACATACAAAAGGAATGAAATTTGACAGGGCATAGCATGCATGTACTATGTCCTTTTTTATCTAATTATAAAAAATGTCATCTCATGTTCCAGGATTGGCACAATTTACAAGTGTATTATTTTTCTAGTCCATAAATGTTGCCAGGATGATGCAAGGTTTTTAAGCTCAGAAGAAAAAATAAACTACGGAATGATCCATAATGACTACTAGATTACAGCCTTAAGTGTGTTTGCCTTTTTGGAAGCTTCTTTTCTGATAAACTTTGCACATTCCTAATTTTTATACTGTAAGCATTATTAGTTTCCAATGCAAATAGAGAAAAAAGTGCATGTACACAGAAGACTTACATGAATGACATTTTTAAAAACTTTGAATCATCATGAATGAAAGGTATTCTAGGTTATATAGTTCAGTAAAGGTAAGCTGAAATTTTGAATATGTGCATCTGTGTTACTTTAATTTTACTTACTTGAAAGACAGGCTTATTAAATATATAATGTGAAGGAAAAACATTGAACATTCATATAGTTTTGTTATATTATAGGAATGAACTTCAAAACATTCAACCACCAGCAAAATCAATGAGGCCAAAGCAGATACATTCAGTTCAGAAGTTTTATTGTGTGTAAACATTTTAGTTGATGCCATGACTTCTCTTTTTAAGAAAAGTGTTTATTTAAAAAAGTAGTTTTTATAGTTTTAACAGGATTAAGTGTAAAATGATGGGTTCAGTTTTCAGATGATCCACAAGTATGCATAAGCATTAATTTCATTCCTGTTTAAATTGGAAGTTAAAGCGACAAGAAGTCTGTGTTGGTTATTGGAAGATTTTCTTCACCTAGGGTATAATATTATATCTTATAAGTGCAGGTAAGAGAACAGGTAATAAAATTGAAACTTACATATTTAATCAGTCTGTAGACTGATAATATCAAATGCCTCTTTTTATATGCTAGTTTTAGCTAATAAAATTTCTGTGCAACATCTATTAGATGGTGGTACTATTATATCTCCAGATATTCTAGCATATAGAATGTACAAAATGAATCCTCATAGTTATCTTCATTTCTCATAGTACTTTTCATTTAGAAATAATGCTTTTGTATTATTCCTGGTACTTTCCCCACTGTCTTTGGTTGTTGGAAGCCATCAGGAAGTTGTGAGAAGAATCCTCACTTACCAACCACAAATCTGGCTTAATGGGGACTGCTGGGATTGCTATATCACTGTCGCTAAATGATGGGGTGGAATTAGGAAATTCCATCCCAATTACCATTGTTAAGCAAGAACTCCCTATAGTTAGAATCCAGAAAAAGTACTATGTATCTAACTCCACTGAAATTGGTAGTACATAAGTTAGTCATAACAAATGTTTCACACTGATTTTTGAGACCTTAATGTAATTAGTTTTATCTGCAGCTGGCCTATTATTCTTTGGTATTTTTTATACATTGGGTGTCCATAAATGAAGTTTGCTATAACATCTATACATGTTTCCTAATCAAATGTATTATAGTCTTACAATTGACACCGATTTGTGCATACCTTAAATTCTATCGTGTTTTAATATTCCAGATCTTAGTGAAATATGTAGAAAGGGAGACGTATACAAGAAATCCCTATGAAAATCTAGCTGTTTACAGTGCAATAAAATTAGCAGTAATTCAAAACATATGTTGATTGGTACCATTATCTACCCTATTTTACCTAAATTATCCTATATTTGGAATATGCATGGAGAATCACTTTTAATAGTATGTGCATTGAGAATTACTGCATTAAGAAAAATAAAAGTTTACTAAATTTGTACATATTTGATAATGTAATACTCAGTGGAGAAAATAAGATTCCATCTTATTGTTTCAGTTGCAATTGTCTAAGATAGTGTGAGAACTTTACATTCATACTAATTGCTCTAAAATACCTATATTTGGAAAACATAGACATATCCATATTAAAAAGATTTACAAATGTTAATGGCAGAATATTTGAACATGGTGGTTATCTTTCAAATAAACCTTTATGCATACTATTTTATCTTTTATAAAGAAACAAGTTAATTGTTTATTTTGTTTGTCTAGGAAACCATTTCTAACCCTCAGACTTCAGAAGAAGAGAAAACTGAGACATCAGCAAGTCAGGAGATTGTGAATCCTGAAACATACGTTAAGCATCCATTACAAAACAGGTGGGGCATGTTTCCTTTAAATTGTGTAATAGCATGTTCCAAAACAGAATTAACTAGATATTTTGGAATGAAATTATTTTTTTAAATGCAAAGTACAGATCCACAAATATCCTCCTTTTGAAATTAAAAGTTGGGGAACATTTGTCTTTTATATTAAATTACAGGTCCTTTATGACAACTATGAAATATTGTATATTCTCTTTATGTTTCAAGAGATTTCAGTTGAAAAAAACTACATAACAAAGTTACAGATCACTATCTCTTTTGTAATTTTAAACTGGAAAGTATAACATACTAACTTGCCATATGTTTCATACTTTGATTTGTATACTTTATAGTAACAATTTAAAGTGCAGTGTTGACAGGTAAATATGTTTTTGGTTTAAAAATCAAATTAATTGTCCTATCTAGTTTGAGCCAAATTGTACTTTGGACTATAAATACTATTTGACATAACCTCCCTATTCAGAATCTTTAAAAATTTGGGTTTCTTCTCAGGATACTACTTCTGAATGCAATTTAAATCTTTGCTCCAACTTTTCTTTGTCATCTAAGGTAGAATGTGGTTGATGACTAGGTCATTAGGTTTTAGTTTACAGAACTAGCCTCAGAATTCTTCATTATATGCTCAGGTGTTAAGTAAAATTGAACATTAAACCTGTGTATCTTTTGTGTATTCTTGTTTTGTATTTTCCTTCCCAAATTTCTTAGTGTATAATTTTAATCCCTGCCTTTTAAAATAATAATTATATATTGTATACCAATATGAAGTCATTATTTTTTTTCAGGTGGGCACTTTGGTTCTTTAAAAATGATAAAAGTAAAACTTGGCAAGCAAATCTTCGTCTGATCTCAAAGTTTGATACTGTTGAAGATTTTTGGGCGTAAGTAAAATTATAAATCAGACTTGAAACTTGAGTGTTTTTCCACCTGATTGAGGATTATATATGAGAAACTATAGGGGGATAAGTTGAATAAGAGGGAATATTCAAAGACAAGAGTGAAGTGAATTTGTAAAGAACACCTATGTACTAGTAAAACTCTTGTGTCTGTAACCTTTAATTGAATGAAATAGTGCATTATAGGACAACAATTTTTGAACTAAGATAGCCCAAATGGGCCAACTTAATAGAATTCTTCCAAAAATCCGGACACATGACTCCTGTGGAATTGAAATTGTCAAATTTATGATTGCTTCAATGCTTCTGTGCCACAATAAACTGCTTCTGCCTTAGCCCTCTGGAAGCTAAATAGACCAGCCTCTCCTTTGGCTGCTGGAGATCAGGTAAACTGGTCCTGCCATAGCCCTCCAAAGGCTGGCTAGACTGATCCCACCATTGGCTTTCAGAGGGCCATCAGCTCTGGTCATACTGGCAAAAAGTCAGAAGTTACTACTTCTCCCACTGCTTTTTTGTCCATTCTGTTTCTCTATTTAGTTAAGGAAACATCTCTAAAATGATGACCCAATGGATCATGGGTTATCTAATTTAAACTTAAGTTTGGGAAAGTTGAAAGCGTTAAATATTGTTGCCTGTTACAATTATAAAAAGAGGGCACCTGGGAAACTACAAGCAGTTGGCTCTGTGAAGTATTGGAAATCCTGTGAACTATATTCTCAAGTATTGTGATGATGTCAAATTAGTTTTTAATGTAATGATTATATGACTTTATTGTTTTTTCTTTTAATAACATTTGCTGTTAAGAATTATTAAAAATTTAACCCCAAAATTTAAGGTAATATATGTGGGGTTTTTTGACATTTGCACATCTGTAATCTTTAATATTTGTGATAGTTTACTTCATTGTTTGTACTTATGTTTTTTCCAAATAGGTTATATAACCATATTCAGCTCTCTAGTAATTTAATGCCTGGTTGTGATTATTCACTTTTTAAGGTATGTGGAATAAACTTTTGAGTCTATTTCATTTTGCTAGGCTATTTTGGGTGTAACCTGCTAAGTAAAAGACTTTAAAGAATATACAATTTAATAAATATTATATTACATCGTAAAAAAATGTATTAATAAAACTTTCTGCAGAGTTAATTATTAACTTTAGTTTCTATATTTACAATGTGTGATTTCTGTGTTAGGGTACATCTTAATATTATTTTGATATTTTCAAGAGCTGAGGATAAAATACATAAGCAACATTTGTTTAAATGTTGATAATCATATCTTTCCTATTTTACTACTCACTATTTTCATAGTGTTGTAAATAAAATGCTTAATGTAGTTAGTCCTTGATTCCGATTTCTCTGTCAAAAGAATTTTTTTGTATTTATATTAATTTTTAAAAAACACTGATTTTTTTTTCATGCATGACTTAAAATCTTAATATAAATGTAAATAAATTTCAAATATTTAAAAATAAATTGTGTGAATTACACATGTGGATATTGTGCTTTATATTAAACTGCACTTTTTAGGATGGTATTGAACCCATGTGGGAAGATGAGAAGAATAAACGGGGAGGGAGATGGCTAATTACACTAAACAAGCAGCAGAGACGAAGTGATCTTGATCGCTTCTGGCTAGAGACAGTAAGTGATTTTTATATGTGTTTGGTGCTCATTTTGGTCACAATAATAATAGTTGGAAGGGACCTTGGAGGTCTTCTAGTCCAACCCCCTGCTCAGGTAGGAAACCCTATACCATTTCAGACAAATGGTTGTCCAGTCTCTTAAAAAAACTTCCAGTGTTGGAGCATTCACAACTTACAGGGGGTTAATAAACTGTTCTAACTGTCAGGAAATTTCTCCTTAGTTCTAGGTTGCTTCTCTCTTTGATTAGTTTCTATCTGTTGCTTCTTGTCCTGCCTTCAGGTGCTTTGGAGAATAGCTTGACTCTTTCTTCTGAGATATTGGAATACTGCTATCATGTCACCCCTCATCCTTCTCTTCATTAAACTAGACATACCCAATTCTAGCAGCTGTTCTTTATATGTTTTAGCCTCCAGTCCCCTAATCATCTTTGTTCTTCCCTGTACTCTTTCTAGAGTCTCAACATCTTTTTTACAAAAGTGGATGCAGTATTCCAAGTGCGGCATTACCAAGGCGTTATAAAGTGATATTAACACTTCACGTGGTCTTGAGTCTATCCCTCTGTTAATGTAGCTTAGCACTATGTTGGCTTTTTTGGCAGCTGCAGCACACTGCTGGCTCATATTTAAGAGAAGAGTACTTTTCCCAATTGCTAAAGGAAAAGTCAAGGTGTACAAAATACATATAGATAATTATTTGACCATAGGTAGACCATTGCTACATCAGAGTCTTAGAATACAGACTACAAAGTTGGAAGGGACCTTGGAGGTCTTCTAGTCCAATCCCCTGCACAGGTAGGAAATCCTATACCATTTCTTCTTGGCATTACATTTTCTTGGGTGGAGGCCTATGAAAACCATTTGTCTTGGAGATTTGTGAATCCTTCTAGATTCTGAAATTTGATTCAGGAGATGCATTACAAATAATTTTCATGCTGTCTGCAATCACCATACTAATGGCATTGCAGTTATATTGATTCTAAGAGATTGCTGGAGTCAGTTTTAGAGACCCAGTAGTTGAAAGTTTCATATCCTTGATATGCAATGCATTTGTAAGCTTATAAAATGTGTTACAGGCCTGTCAGCTGTCAGTGACCACTAGGGAAAGTGTGGAGAGCATGAGTTCTGGAATCCTTTCTTATTGCTTAATAATGCTGCTGTTTGGATCATTTGTCAAGACATAAAATTTAGAGTGGAGGAATTGGCAACATCCTGAGCCACTGGCTCAACTATCTCTCTCGTTGGGATGCATTGGAGAAACTTTTCTCAATACTTTGATTTGATTGATTCTTTTTTAAACTCATTTTTCTTGTGTTTGCTTTTCTTGTCTATCAAACTTAGTGCCATTCTCTTCAGTTCTCACAGTTATTTTTCTGATGATCAGACTAGAAGACTCCTTTTACATGTTTTCTTTCAAATATTCTGTTGGGTTGGAAAAAATAAGGTAGGGCAAGTATGCAGAGCATAGTGTTGAAATTCGTTTCAATATCTTCACTAGTACGAGGTATCTGACTTATATATACTAATATGGATAGTCTGTCTTTACTCTTCTCTTTGTGTGTTCTGGGAAACCCAATAAAATAACTCTGCGTCATGTGATGAGGAAGGTGGAGACTTGAGTATGAATCAACAAACAACATTCTAAGCAGCTGCCAGTCCCATAGGACAGTGGTCCCCAACCTTTCCGTCTTGGCAGACAGGAAGGGAGGAAAGGGAGTGGTTCTTTGTGAGTGGCAGGCATGCACGTGAGTGTGCAAAACTCCATTTGTGCAAGTGATGGGCATGCAGTCCGCTCACGCAAATGGAACTGCCAGTTCAAGCACCTGCCACTTGCACAAATGGACCTGCGCATGCGCATACTCCCCTGCCACTTGCACAGCCAAGTTCCAAATGAGCTGCAGACTGGTAGCGGCCCATAGGTTGAGGACCTTTGCCATAGGATGCATTTTTCTTGACTCATTTTTTTCTGCACAGCTGTCAGACTGATCTACCAGTTTTTGAATTTAATCTTTGTTTTGCTGGCTTCTTTCTCCAGTACAGGAGATGGATAATCCACGGATGGGTTTTCTCTGTCTGCCTGCTCTTGAGACCAAGTAGCCAAAGCTTGACACGCCCCCACTTCCTGTGGAGTCCATTCTTAACTTGGTCTCTGCTCGAGAAGACTCGTTTTGGCGTGGCTCTCAGCTTATCAGGTTAGACAAGAAATCCATTGATTGATTATCCCTTGATAATTGGCTTCCCCTTCCAAAAAAAATTGCCACCTATAGGAATTTAACCACAAAATTTTCTGGGGATCAGTCCTGATCTCAAACCTAAAATTAAAAAGGGGATTGGTGGGGAGGGAAACTTCCCCACAGATATCAGCCAGCCCCAGGGCTCTGGGGGGTGGAAAGGGGGGGAAGAAGGCATCAGCAGAGACTACTTGCTGAACCTTTCCCCCAACCACTAAGTTTTCCTTGGGATCATCCCTGATCCTATATTAAAATTGAAAAAGGGGGTGGGGGGGGAAACTCCCCACGGATTCCAGCCAGCCCCAGGGCTCTGGAGGTGGAAAGGGGGGGGGGAAAGGCATCAGCAGAGACCACTTGCTGAGCTTTTCTCCCCAACCTTCCAAGGGATTTTTTCCTCAAATTGGGGAAAAAAATAACAATCTCCAGGTCCGGATTCAAACTTGAATTCGGATCATCGGAGATTCCCTAGCAGCCCAGGGCAACCGCGGGCGCCATTTTAGTTGCCGTTTCAGGCAACAAAGGCAATCCCTGACTGGGATTCCCTTAAAACGTCACCAGCGCGCCAAATTTAAATCCCCGGGCACAAGCAGCTTCTGGGAGGCTGCGGAGCTCCCTCCTGGGATCCGCAAAGCCCGTTTTCAGGGAGAAACGAGCTGCGGCTGCCATCTCTTGCCAGAGGAAGGCAAACCGAGCTTAAGGAAGCTCCACATCATATCTGGAAGCACTGATAGAGGCGGAATAGGAGCGCACAGCCAGTGCTCCACCCCCGATACACACATATAATAATAATAAAAATAAATACATAAATTTTAAAAATAATAATAATAATAATTAAAAAAAAATTTTTTTTTTAAAGCTAAAAATTAAGCGACTGCAGGGCCAACAGGCCTAAAGGCAGAACACACAATATTATCATCGTCACCATTATTGTTGTTGTTGTTGTTATTATTATTATTATTTTATTATTATTGTTGTTCCTATTATTAGTATAATAGTAATAATATTAATAAGAATAAATTCCGCTCTAGGTGACCGCCATTTGATACCTTGTTGTGTATTAAGTCAGGCCTACAGACCCTTTTGAGGTCGCCACTGATATTTTTTGCCTCCCTTTTCCTTTTTCTACTGGTGCACGTTGCCTGGTCACCTAAGGCCTCCGGGCGGAACCCAAAGAGTGGTTCCAAACGTGCCTTCGGTACCTCCCTCAGCTACCGTGACCTTAGCCCAGAGAGAATATTTTTGTTGTGGTCGGGTGATCAGGGGAACAGTCCTGGTACTTGTTCCAATTTCGCTCCCGCCAATACTTGCCTGCCTGAGCGTCTTCTCAGTTTTTCTGGGACTGCTCAAGCGGAATGGAGGGACCCTCGTTGCCTCAATCCATGAGCACGACCCCTCCATCTCCCAATGACGGCTGCAACACACCTTCTGACCAGAAGGCGGCAGGCAAGTGCAAAGCGAAGACAAAACACTCACTCAAGAGGCCCTCCAAGTTGGCGGAAAAGCAAGCCAGCCGTAGGCACCAGGCCCTGGAGAAGGAGTTCTCCAGAGCGCAGAGGCAGGCCCAATTGGAATTGGTTCAAATAGCGGCCACCGAGATGGAATTACCATTGGGTCCATCCACATCAACCCAGAGCGCGTGGTCCATTCCAGGAACACCGCAACCACTGGATCCGCCATCTACATCAGTCCAACAAACAACCACGGCGGCAGGCACAACCACTGAGTCCACCTCTCCACCTGCGGTCACCACACCCAAAGGTAATGACATAGGGGACATCTGGGCAGATGGACGGCTAGAGGCCCTATTAACCAAAGTGGTGGACCGAGCCCTAGCACAGCGCTCCGCCCACCACGACCAGGGGCCCTCCATCTCAGCCATGCCACACTCGGAACTCCCCTCAGAGTCCTCAGGCATTCAGGAACCCGTCTCCCCGGCCCAGTCCTCCATGAGTGGTTATTCTTCACCACAAGAGGAGGATCAACCTGGGATCTCTATGTCAGAGGATGAGGAACTTCCCCCTGAGCCCCCCTCAGGGGGATTATTTAATCACAACCGCTTCCTCACGATACTACGCAAGGCCACAGCCATTGCGGACATGGGGACGGATCAGTTTTCTCAGCCGCAAGCGACACCGGCCACCACATCCAGACCCGTATTCGTAGAAAAGGTGACATCACAACACCATATACCTTGCCCCGCCATTTTCCTGAAAGGGATCAAGAAGCCATGGGACTCTCCCACTTCCTTCCCATCAGTGAGTGGTACGGACAAAAAATTATACAGCACTGCCACAGACCTCAATGAGGCCTTAGAAATACCTAAAGTAGATGAAACCTGGACCCCCTTGGTCTCCCAGACAGCCATGGCTGGGGACCTAGTGGAGGCCCTTAAGGCAGATGACAAAAAGTGGGAACAAGCCTTTCGCAAAACCCACCAGGCAGCGGCATGGGCCATCAAAGCAGCCACCTCGACCTCCTTTTTTGTCCGGGCCACCCTCATCTGGTTGCAACAACTACAAACCATAGTTCCTATGGAGGACATACGAACACACCAGGACCTGGCTAAGATGGTAGCAGCCACGGAATACGCTGCAGACGCAAAGCTCCAATCGGCCATTTTTTCATCCAGATCCATAGCATCCAACATAATTGCCAGGAGAATGCTATGGCTAAAACACTGGCAAGCTGACACCAAGGCTAAGTGGCGGCTAGCGACCGCCCCTTACTCAAGCAACGGTCTGTTTGGGGAGGCCTTGGACCCCTATCTTGT